CACAAGCATTCAGAGCGTTTTGCGCGCCTTCTGTGACAATCCATGCCTATACTTTCTCAGTCGCTCAGAACAAGGCGAAGGCCCAATACGCTGGCCAACGCTCAAAACAATGGATTGATAATTGTAGTTCCCATGCGCTCAGAAACCTCAAAACGCTGACAGAAGTTCAAAATGTCCCCGAGTGTAAACGCACTCTGACCTAGGACGAAACGACCTTACCGAACAAAAATCTACCTTCGCTTTCAGATGTAGCGGTCTTTCGACGAACACTTTGTGAAGCGGTTCTTATCGTCGATGCTGTTCGAGTAGGAGACTTTGAAGACGACGATACCCGTTTTGTAGGTGTTGTAGCCTAAAAGACTCGAGTAAATAGAATTCGAGCAGTGTCAGTAAACCAGTCTTGGAAGGAAAAATGGCCTTACATTGGGCTTCTGCGTAGAATTGTTTATAGCAGTAGGTGGGCCTTGCTTCCACAGTTTAGTGAGCTTCTTCTCGTAAAGTGAACGTGTTGTGCCGGTGACTGGACCAACAGTGACGTTGTACTTACGGAGCTCACCAGCAAGTTCGGCATCCGACAATAGAGCTGCGTCTTTCATCTGGAAAAAACGACAGTGGTAGAAGAACTAAGAAAATGCAAACATCGAGAACGTCTAACCGCAGCAAGGTTTCGGTGCATGACATAAAGTATTAACAAAATACGGTTAAAAAAAGTGTTCAGTAACGAAACACACTAAAATGAGAGACTTCTTCAGCATTTTTAGCTTGTCAGCTCTAGTCTTTTTCCTTGCGGATGGAAGGGAGATGGATTTGGAGCTGTGACAGATTCCTTTTCCACCAACGTTGAAACGAGCAAGCGACAAGACTGCACCATATCGTTCGTATCATTCATTGTCCAACAACTGTTGTCGCTTGCCCGCTCCAACGACTGCCAGAGAAGGAGCATGGTGCCGCGCAAAACCCATCTTGAGCGGCACGCCTCTCCATTCGCAGCGAAGAAGCCTGTACATGTGTCTAAGTGCTGAATACACAGAAGGGAATGAAGAGCTTTATGTCCTAATAATGAAGAAGTATTTTTTTGCCGTTGCTGCCCCAATCTTCAAAAAATGGGACCATATTTGATAGACATTGTTCGAAGGGAACAGATTCCACCCCCAATTTGTCTCAAGCGGTAGTTTGGCTCAACCCCAAGAACAGAACTATCACTTCCGCTTTCAGCGAAATCGAATGGCATCCGAGCCGTTGGAGCTCACGTATTTGGTATTTCGCGCTAAGCGGATCTGATATGGATCTCTGAGTGACTAAACATACCTGCTGACCGCGTAGCCTCCCTCGTCCTTCCTCTTACCCTCCCTTCCTTCTCTCTCTCCTCTCCTTTTGTTGTCCATTCACATGCTCGTCCAATGGATGCGATGAGGAAAACCTTCAAACCCTCGCAGCAAGAAAATTCCCGATCGACAGAAGCTCTGCAACCATGCTCAGGCAGCGAAACTGTCTTTCGGAAGGAAGGCCCTTCAAATTTGGAATTTGGGTTGTTTGGGTGCTGTGTTTTACATCAATAGATGAAGCATTCCGAAAAAAAAACGCAACGAGGCAGAACCGGAAAGGTTGGATCGGAAGGCTAGATAAACGCTTCTAAGGCGTTTTTCCCACATTAAACCTATTTGCAAAAGGGTGGGAAAGTCGTGAAGAAATAGAAAAGTAGGAAACAAAGAAGTGGACAGTTGATAATGCCAAAATAATCAAATAGGAGCGATAGTACTAGGGGACCGAAAACTATTCTTGTGGGCTGTAGCATCTAAACGCATGGGTAGAATAAGGAAAGGAATAATCTGGCAACTACACCTGCCGTCCAGCACAAAAGAAACAGAAAGAGGGGAGCAAAATGTTCTAGGCAAGTTCTAACTGATGCTGCGTTCATACCATGCGAAACTCGAAAATTGATGATGTTCCGATTCACTGATCGGTACGTGACTGGTGTTCTCGTCCATTCTCCCGATCCATCGATTCCGCAATTCCGCAAAGTGTGAACGCGGCCCAGGGCGCGGTCCCCTCGTGTACAACGCGTCTTTTGATGACGTGCCAAATGCAATACGTTGTCACGCGATAGCTCCCAACAAGCAATGGATTGTTATCATCCAATAAT